TTGTTTATTCTGAAACAAAGAATTTTTATAGCTGGGTATTATATGAGTTATACAAAGTGCTAACTATTTTAACAAGTAATTTACATGTAGAAACTATTATCACTAATCAAGAGTTGGCTCTTATGGCCGCAATATCTAATATTTTTCCTGATACAAAGCATCAGCTATGCATATGGCACTTTTTTAAAAATATTAGAAATAAGCTTAAGAGCACTAATATTGACGAATTTATTCAAGCTATTCAAATGCTTGTATATAATAATTTTCTAGAAGATCAAGTAGAACAAAAATTCACTGAATTGTAGAAAAAATTTCTAAGTACAAAAAAATATATGTATAATACATAGATGCTATATAAAGAAAGCTGGCTTGTACTATATACAAAAAAAAATATAAATCTTAATATTAAGTCAAGCCAGCGTGTAGAAAGTTTACATAACAAATTAAAAAGTGTTGAAAGATATGTTGTTCCAATTGATAGGTATGAATAAAAAATTGTTAGTCAATTATTAAGTAACTAAATATTATATAGTCATAAAATAATATGCAGAGATATAATTTCGAATTTTAGACAAAATTAAGCTTAATTTAGGCTAAAATTCGAAATTATATCTTTGCACATTATTTTATAACTATATATATAGTAATTAGCTAATTAATTTAATTTAATTTAATATTTTTTGCCTATATTTATTTTCTTATTATTTATAGGTTGCTTGCAATAGTTTGGCAACAACATCAAGAGCATATTCAAAAATTTGCTTATGAAATGTTTTTATATCAGAATAGGCATATACAAGATAATAAAGATATAGGCTTAGAAAAGCTACATTCAGTGTGTTCACGATTTGCTTATGAAACATATATAAAACAACAAAGAGATTTTGTAAGATCAGGAGAATATAGAGTTCTTAAACGTGATGATGGTATATATGAAGTAGTGCAAATTGATGATCAGATAATGAAAACATATGCAGTACAAATTGAAACACTAAGTACTTGTATATGTTTACATCCATGGCGTACCAAAACTCTATGCCAGCATATAATTATAGTATATCTTTTGTATTTACGTACTTGTGTATCACAAAGTAAGGTTCATTAACATTAGCATGTATTACATACTTCAAAAATCGATCATGATCAAGATTCGGTTTCTCAGCTTGCCATGCAAATTTTTCAAGAGCTACCGCAGTATCACCATAATAATTTATTAAATCTTATGCAAGATATTTCAAACCAGATTTTAGAAAATAGAAAGATACCAAAGCTTCAAGATAATTTGAATAATTTATAGCAAAGTACTTTTGAAATGACTAATGCTGACAATATTATAGACTATAAAGAAATTAAAATAATTGAAGTTAAGCATAAATGTGGCCATCCTCCTAATAATAGGCGTATTCCTGATGCTAATGAAAATAAATTTAAAAAAGCTAAGATTGATAAAAAGTTAGATAAAGGTAATACATTTTTACATCTGTTTGGTTTAGAACTTGATTTACGCATTTCTCAAAATGCAGTATTACAGGTATGTATATACTATATTATATATATCTAATTCGTCTTTTTTAATAAGTGAATATCAAACATAGCTAAAATTAGATATTAGATTTGCTTTTTATAGTTGCTGCGTAAAAATAAGTATTTTATGTATTTTAGATAATACAAGAGTTTAATTTTTAAATTAAATGCTATAAATAAAAGTTTTATCCTGAGCAAATATTAAAAATAAAATTCATTATGAATATAACTAATATATTAGTCATGTAAACAGCAATATATATCAATTATATTTGTAATTAAATTTTTCTTATAGCTAATTACTCAGGATACGACTATTATTTATTTAATTAGAAATTTGGGAAGCTTCGAAATATTTTTTATAATAATTTAGATAATATATAATTACAGGTACATAATCTACTCAGTGATGGATATTGCGGGTTTCGATCACTAGCTGTAGCTATATTCAAAGAAGAAAAAAAATAGCAAGATGTCAAGGCTGCGATAAAATCTCAATTAACTAAATGGCAACATTTCTACAGCAATATTCTTGGATATAATACAGATCAGTTAATGAATATTTTATCATATATTCAACCAGAATGTTCACAAGAATACTGGTTTTATTCACTGGAATGTGTACAAATAGCTTCAGATATGTTTAATATGCTAGTAGCAATATATAGCATAGACTTAATGACAAGTCTTCTTTTTTTGCCATTTGATCAGAAATCTAGGCATCGCAAAAAACTTATAATTCTGCATTGGCATGGACGTGACCATATTGTGTTTGTCAAACTCAAAGTAAATAGAAATATACAAAATCTATCTTTAAATCCTCAGTACATTTCTATTTGCCGTCGCTTAGGCTTTTCAGAAGATTGGTTTTCTCTATTTACATAGATTTGTACTATTTATTGTTTTTCATGTGATTGTTTCTAGAAATATTGCTATTGTACAATTAATTCAATTAATTTTAGCTTTATAATTCAATATCAGTTATTGAAGTAGTTCGTAGCATAGCAAGTGTCACTAAAAGTAATTATTACTTATTCCATAAAAATGGTTTGTACACGCAACAAAAATTATAAATATGTGAATATAATGATATGCAAAAAACTCATGTTAAACATCTTTGACGAAGTAAATAAATAAAAATATATCAGAATAAAGCAAAGTATTTTTTACACCTATTATATTAAAAGTGCGAAACTGTAACTATGAACATGAAAAGCTGAATACTTAGAATCGAAGATGTATGGTATATATGTACACCTAATTGCTTTCTTAATTCGTAAAAAAATTATTCTGGCATTTAATTTGCTAGATTAGTCGAAATTAGTTTTCTTATGTATTAAAATTAATATATATATATATTTTTTTTTAAAAAAAAAAATTACGCATATTTATTGATGTACACAAATAATTGCTGAATTTTAAGTAACTAATTAATGCTATAATTTTATTGGTCAAAAAAAATTGATATACGTGATATTGCACAGAATTGATATATGCAAAACATTCCTCTTAAAACAAACTTCTACTATACTCTAAAGTTATAAATATAGCTAATTGTACTTTTACTAACTAATATAAACTTAAGAATAATACTTAATAAAATAATTTGTAGACAATTTGTTGACAAATAAAAAAAATAAAAAATAAAAAAAATCTAAATTCTAATAAATATATACCTATTGATTAGAGAGTTAGTGATGAGGTACTTTGAAATAAAATCTAGACTCTGAATTATAAAGTTTGTAAATATATATTAGCTTATATATTTTTTTAGAGAAGTAGTATTACAAGTTTTAGTCTTCTTAATACAATACAAATAATATAAGATACAGAAAAAAGACTCTTAATAATGTTCAAGTAGAATATTACTTTACTGTAGCAGTTCATTACAAAATTAATAAAAGAGCAAAGATTATACTTTATTTATAATACAATATCGATAATACAAGACTATCTATTAGTTTTTGTACTAAAAGAATTCTAATATTAAGGAGATTGCAGAAGTTAAACTTAATTTGAAGCAAAGGAAAAAAGAAGGATTTATATAACTTTTTTACAACTAGTAATAAGAACTATAAGAACTGTAAAAACTATAAGAACTATAAAAACTATAAGAACTGTAAGAACTATAAGAACTATAAGAACTGTAGAAAATATAAGAACTGTAAAAACTGTGAAAACTATAAGAACTGTAAATTATACTAAAGTTGTTCTTAAGATAACTTAAAAACTAAGAGTCTTATAGATATAAAATATAGCTTGTTTGAAAAGTCTAATTGAGCTAAATCTAATAGTATAGCTTAATTTATTTTGACTACTAAGCTATTTGTAAAAGTGATGATAAGTAAAAAAATTAACTATTTATAATAATAAAATGCTAATAATAAAATAATAAAAATAAAATAAGTAAAACTCATTTTATAACAGTACTACTGTTATAAAATGAGTTTCAATTATTTTATTTTATTATTTTATTTATTATTTTTATTATTAGTATTTTTATAAATAGTTAGTTTCTTGAATGTACTTTATTTTATTATATCGCTTTTACAAATAACTTAGTAGTCGCAGATAGATTTAGATTTTACCATTAGATCTAGCTCGAAGAGATCTTTCAAACGAGCTATAATTTATAACTGTAGAACTCATAGTTTTAGAGTTGTTTTAGAAACAACTTAGAAACAGTTACCGTTTTTACCGTTCTTACCGTTCTTACCGTTCTTACCATTCTTACCGTTCTTACCATTCTTACCGTTTCTACCGTTCTTATTCTTAATTGTAAAAGCTATATAAACCCTCCCTTTTCCTTTTGCCCCAAAAAAGATTAGATAAGATTTGTCCTCTACAATCTCCTATTACTCAATAAAGTTCTAAGTTCTCTATTAGTTCGTTAATAAATATGATCTTTTGGCTTTAAAAATAAACTTCTCTAACGAACCGTCACAGTGATGTAACATTCCACTTTGACACCGTTGGGAGTTCCCCTTCCGTGTCTTATGTTACTTGGAGTGTATTAAGAAGGCTACACCACTTGTAACAGTACATAATAAAAGAAAAAAAACTATTCTACTTTTAAAACTGCTCTTCTTATTGCAATTCTGAACTTACTCAGCTGTCTAAGAGATGCTCAAGTACAATCTGCTATAGCAGCATTTTCTTCTTGAGACTAAACATATGTTTAAACATATCTATTTAGACTCTATCAAAAGAAGGCTACTATCAGCTTATATTAAGAAAGCCTATTTAACTTTAAATTTTAACTATTTCTCATGATCTGTATTTTTGATCTATCTCGAGATTTGGTTGTTTAAATCTTTTAGTATTTTTTCTCTTTTCTCAGCTACTGATTCTTTCTTTTGAGAATTCTCTAGAGAATTGTTCTCTTTGTTTGCTAGGCTAAATCTAAACTGTTTTTTCTTTTTTCCTTTTTTTTTCGTATATTGATCTTATTTTCTTTTTCCCAACTTGCTATGATTTCATAGCAGAACTTCCATAACCTTTCATAAAAATTGGACCAAAATATATTAATAAACCAACTTATTGTTTGGTTGACTTTAGATCTGAAGCTTAGCAATATTCTAATATCATTGGTTTGTTTTTTGCTTATAAGGTCTCAAAGGTATAACTTTCTTTGTTTAAGCTTCTCCTCTAAGTTCATATCTAAGAGTATGCTCGCAAGACTAGAACTTAATACTAATAAATCTCATTCTTTGAGTATTTTCAAACCTAGTTCCTTTATTATTATTTCTTCTGTATATTTCCAGATACCTTGATATAACTCGCAAGTAGCTAGATAGCTAAAAGTTTCTTCTGTTCTGTAGTATACTACACATGTTTTACCTTTATATAACTTAGGTCTTCTTTGGTAGTATATGTCATGTATTGGTAGTAACTTATTCATGTATTTTATTCTGAACATCAAAGCCTTGCTTTTCTTGAGACTTATGCATTTTCTGCTTTAATATTTCTTTAACGTATCCCATATATTTGTTTAATTTATAGTTTCATTGTTGTTAGTTATTAGTCTCATATTTATTAGCTTACTTATATTATTTAATTTTGCCTATTCTGTTTCATAGGTTATTGCTGTTGTAATATTTACAAAAGCTCTTATTAAGCAATTGATCAAATTGCTCTTCTATTTAGATAAAACCTTAATTTCATCAGTATTAACATCTTTTGGCTTAACTATTTTGTATGAGTTGAGACTAAGCTTAGTAAGCTTATCTGCTTTGTTATTCCATAAGTTACCACTATAATCTTTGATCTTAATAAGCTCTAACTCAATATTTTTGGCTTTGCAGTATTCTCTTATTTGTCTAATTAAGCTTTTATTCTTAGTTTTAAATAGATCTCAAATACTGTTTGAGGATTTGTTACTTAGTATTCCTTCAATTGCTACTTTGCTATCTGAGAAGATCTTAACTTAAGTATCATATGGTACTGCTAATATTGCTGTTCAAATTGCTCCGAGCTCAGCTTGAGTTGAGAAGAGCCAATTGACTATTTTACTATTAAAACATATATTATCTAAACTATTATTATATCTATTATCTATTATCTAATCTATTCCTATTTTCTTTTCTCTGTTATTTCCTATTTCTTTACTTGCTAGTAACCTATCTGTATAAATATCTAACACCTTTTCTCCTTTTAGCTTTTCTACTATCTCTTAAATCTTCTTGAATATTCTTATCTTCGATTACTCTTTGTATTATTACTTCTTCTATACTCAGTATTTTTATCTGAATGCTATTCTGAATTGGAAGTTCTTCTTTTGAATATAGCTCAAATTTATTTATATAGACTAAAAGTGATAGTTTTAAAGTGAATGTGCCTGTTTCATCTCTTGTTGCTTTGCTGACAACTTGGTGCTACTTGCTTATTAGCTTGCTAATTAGACAATCAGTATCGTTCTTTTTACTGATACTGCATCCTTCGCATTTTGCTATACTTGTTTAGAGTGTATCTCCTAGGTCTATATATTTCTAGTGCACTAATATGAATTTTCCTTGGGTCTTTCTAACTATTTTTTCTACTATCGGTATATTTTCTTCTTTTAAAATAACTTATTCTTTCTTTCTTTTATCTGTGCTAATTTTCTGCCTACTTAACTTCAGCACTTCTCTGTTTGTACTTTGAATTTTGAAGTTCTTTGCAACTTCTCTTGAGCTATGATCTACAAGAACTTCTCTTTCAATTGATTTGAACTAGTTTGGTTTGTGATCTTTTCTTCGCAATCTTTTATTAATTTTATCTAATTCTAGAAGAGTAATTTGTTTCCTTCCTCTTCTAGTAACTAATCTATTGTGAATATATTTAGATTTCTACTATCTATAAAGTCTCTCAAATCTTTGTCTAATAGCAGTCTAAATAACTTGATGCCTTTTACTTCTATATTGTTTGTATCTGTATGAGTTTCTTGAAATTGAAAACTAAGTTTAGCTATGCTTATGATAATATTATATATTAGATTGCCTTGGGTTCTTGTTGAGCTGAATGTACATCTCTTATCTAGCAGACTATATTTGGATTTATATTTCAGTTGAGTATCTTTTAGTCTGAGGTAAGTAGATTTCTCTATGCTATCCTTTTGGTTTAAACATATTGTTAGTTTTGTAATATGATATATTAGTTGATTTTGCTATATTGATCTGAGGCCTATTAATCCATTATAGCTACAAATACTATTTACTATTGATTTTGCTAAATCAATTTTGTTTTTGATCAGCATTCAAATTGGTCTCTGTATTTGGTTGCATTTTGGTTTTGGTAAGATGGATGTTTGTAGCCTATATTCAATGTTGAGTAGTAAGACACTATTATTTAGATATATTAGCTGACTAGCTATTGCTTTTTTGAATTTTACTGCTTTGCATATTCTT